ATCTTTCATTAATTTAAATGCTTTTGATTTATTGATTTCAGTTCCAATTCCTTTATTATAGTAGTAAGCAAGCTTATAATTTGCATCTAAATCTCCTTTTTCTGCTAATTTTTTAATTATTTCAAATGCCTTTTCTTCATTTTTATCAACTCCTTCTCCTAATTCATACAGAAAACTCAAATTAAATTGTGCTTCACTATTTCCTTTTTCTGCTGCTACTTTGTATAATTCAAATGCTTTTACTTTATTAATATCAATTCCAATTCCTTCATCATAACAATAACCAAGTTGAAATTTTGCATTTATATTTCCTTGTTCAGCTAAAAGTTTATGGAATTCAAAAGCATTTCTCCCATCTCTTCTTACACCTTTATTTTTTTTATAATGACTAATCCAATCAAATGGTAACCCTTCATTTTCATTTTCTGCCACTATTCGAACTTTGCTAAAAATATTATCTTGATTATTTTTCGTAAATTTAGTTATAAAGTTCCTGAAACCTTTAAAACTTGGTCTTTTTTGAAATTTAATTTCTTTAATATTACTTATTTTTAACTTTTGCCTTTTATTATAGTACTTTAAAAGATTATCGTTTGCAATAATATTTCCATTGTTTGTTGCTTTTTCATACCAACATTTAGCTTGTATTTTATCTATTCTTGTTCCAATCCCATTATAATAACAATTTCCCAGTTGACATTGAGCATCTGAAATTTCTTGTTTAGCCAAAATTTCATAATATTTAAATGCTTTAATTTCATCTTTTTCGACTCCTTTTCCTAACCTAAAACAGTTTGCAAGATAAAGTTTTGCACTTTTATTTCCGCTTTTAGCTGCTTTTTTATACCAATGTACTGATTTTATAATATCTTTTGCAGTTCCAATGCCAAATTCATAACAATTTCCTAAATAGAATTGTCCAATAATACTGTCATTCTTTGCAGATTTTTGATACCAATTAAATGTCAAGTTTTTATTACTCTCAATTCCAAATCCATGATAATAACATTTTCCAAGATAAACTTGTGCAGTCAAATAATTGTCTTCAGATGCTTTTAAGAATAATTTGAATGCTTTTGTACTATTTTCCTCTGTACCAATATTATAATAATAAAGTAGTCCAAGTAAATAAATATATTGTGGATTTACTTGTTTAGTTAGCCATTTAACGAGATTATCTGAACTTTGATTCAATTCTAATATTTGCTGATTGATAAATCGTTGAAAATCTTGAAAATTAATACTTTCCTTATCATGTTTCCTATTTATAACCTTAATTAACTTTTGAACAATTATATTATTAGTCTTATCAAATGTTGACCCATATGAAATTTTTGACATATTTGTTTGAATTGATGTACTTGATAAATTATTTTCACAACTTATATTTAATCCAGTATATGATATCAATTCATTATTTAAATCCACGGTTTCGATTGATTTAGAAGTCGTTTCACATTTTTCCAGTTGATTATTTTCTTTTTCTTTATTAACATTAACAGTATTAATTATACCTTCTTGTTTGGGAAATATTATTTCATAAAGGATAGAAACGACATTCTGTATATTTGGACGTTCATCCGGATCATCTTTCCAACATTCTAGTTAAATAAATTACATTACTAAACTTTCGATCAATGAATTAATAAAATTAAAATATTAAAAATATTAATTACCTGTATATAAATTACTATATTCTATAGGAGTATTATCAATAGTTTTTTCTCGTTTTCCATTTACTATGGACAAGGACAAACTTACGTCATAATCATAATCAGAAAATGGTTGACGGCCACTTGAAATTTGCCACATCAAAACTCCGATGCTGTATACATCAGATTTCTTGTTTAATTTGTAACCTTGTTCATATAACTTTTTCGGATCAATAAAAGGTATTACGCCAAGTATTTTTGATGTATTGCTTGATGCTTCAGAAATTTTTTTTGATAAACCAAAGTCTGTTAACTTTATCTTTTTCTGATGTACTAGTATATTATCTCCATGCTATAATAATAAATGGAATTTTATTAAAACGAATATAATAAATTAATCTATTATCAAATTACAAAATTAATTCATTATTACCAGATCACGATGAATTATATTACAATCATGTAAACATTCTACCGCATTTGCTAGTTGAAATGCCAACTGATATTTATCAATCCAATTAAGTTCATTACAATGCTTATTTAAATAACTTTTTAGTGTACCATTGTCGGCATATTCCAAGACTAACGAATATTTTTCTGGATAAAAAAAAGAGAGTATTTTAAACCAAATTATTATTGTAGCACATGCTAGAACTTGAAACTTACCAGTTTCCACTTTCGTGATGCCGTAAAACCGTATAATATTTTCATGATAATCAACTCTTTTTTGTAATTTTATCTGGAAAAGAAAACCATATTTTAATTTTAATATTTGAAATTTATAACAAAGTTAATTGAGATTAATTACCTCATTAACAAGTTCTTTTAACATTATATTGTCATAATATTTAAAAGTTTTTAAAGCAAAAAAAATTCCAGCATTTTTCCAATTAGCACGAACGACATTTCCATGTGAACCATTTCCTATAGATTCTAAATTTTTAAATTCAGAATATTCATAATAATTGAGATATTCATTTGCAATCGATTTTTCTAACCACTTGATATAATAATTTGGTTCTTTAGGGTCAGTCTCTTTCGTTTCTTTTGACATTCTCAATAAATTGTTTATCGATTTTAACGATAATTGAAACCTTATAGTACTTCCTTATCTGCTTAATTAAATATGAGAGCAAAGGAGTAATGTTTTACTTTAAAAAAAAACTTTTTATACGATAAAATGGGTATAACGATATCAAAAGAAAGGTTTCCCAGTTAGAAAAATTCGGCGAAAAGTCTATAAAAGACCAAACCAAATAAGAGAAATGGGACTAGATAGACGAGACGAACTAGATAGATGAGACTAACTAGTAGATAGATGAGACGAAACAAAAAAAAGCCAGAAGAACAAAACAAGTTTTGAAAACAAATATGACCAAGAAATAAGGAAATATAAAAGAGAAATTAAAGCGTTATGGAATTCAGCAGATTTTGAAACTACACATACAGAAGAATACTAATCAAAGTAACAAAATCTATAAAAAATAATAATATCTTCAGATGCATCGGGCAGCATCGCGGACATCACGCGCTTTCAAACAAAAATGGAAAAAATGTAGATCGCAATGTACCAATGAAGAATAGTCCTCATGGAAGTCTAGACGATTCGATTCATTGTGCAAGAGGTCGATCAGAAACAAAGAAAAGATTTTACGTAGGCAGGGATCATGTGTTACAGTATACCAAGCATAGAAGGGCAAGACGATAGGAAAAATAGGAAACTTAATTTTATTTCGAAAAAGCGAAAGAATATAATATAGAGTGTGTACAGTCAAATCCTGTTATAACCTAAACCTGATCTACTGTACAATAGTATCGATGATAGAGTTGCGGTATACTTCTTGATATTATGTATTATTTTATTATTGATATACCAAGACTATCCCAGGACCCCGAGTTATATATATATAGTCTAGGGAGATCGGCACACGTTTACTATTAGCTCTACGCATTTCTTCAGGGCCGGCACTATGTAATGCTGGTCGGCATTATCCACAAATGGAAGCGATCTACATGATATTGCCGCAAATGATCAGGACCTGACCTTCCTATGTATACCTACTATAGTACTATCCCTCTGACCTTTAAAGTTCTATACCTTAGGTTAAGTTTCCCTTCTTCAAGAATGCAAACGCGTTAATTGACTCTTTCTCGTAATTTTTGGTACAATTTCTCGCCTTGCATCGTTCCGCACTTCTCTAAGTTAAGAGTAAGGGACCTTTCTCCAAAAAACACCCAGAAGAGTTTTTAGCACAAATACAACTGAAACAAATAAAGACTTATATTTTCTTATATTTCTCGGTTATTTTATTTTTGTTGAGTTATTGTGAAAAAGCATGGGCCAATATTCAGCGGTTTTTACTCTAAACAACACCCACACTTCTCAACAACGTTCAACAACGGTACTATAATCAAGAACAACAACAAACCTACGAAGACTTTTTCTGTGTGTCGACTGCGACGATATGTCAGTTCGTTCTCAACAACAAAAGGAAAGATGGAATCGTCTTACCCGTCTCAAGAATCCTCGAATAATAGATTAAACCATTTTTCTCTTGCATACAAGGAATAAGAAAATTAATCCTACTATTATTAAACGAATTCAACATGTGCCTTAAATAGTGGAAAGTTCATGGTCCACGCCATAAATTTAGTGCTCCGTACGGGTCGGATCAGACCCGGGTGATCGACCCGACTCGAATTTTGAATCTTGATATTACTAAACCAACAAATCAACTCGGAAAAAATAAAGATGCAAATACGCATCAGGAAGTCATGTGTCTTAACTGTTCGTAAGTAAAAGTTTTTATTGTATTTAATTTAAAATATATATTTAATATTATTTCATAATTCTTTTTAAAACTCTAGAGTTAATAAGACTTGGTTACGGAAAATTGATGACTCCAATACGTCCAAGGTTATCTGATAAATAAGCTTATTGTATGCAATTATTGATAATATTATTGAACAAGTGTTCCAGTAGAACGAATTTTTTCTGGTGGAGCTGATCTACTGGCAACAAAATGATGCAGCCTTAAAACACAAACTGTTCGTGCATGTATGAGTTTGGAATCTTGGTAAGTGTGAAAAATCAAAGAAATTTAAACTGAATTTTATATTAATTAATAAATAAACATTATTACAATAAAAATTGTAAAATTTTTCGTAAAAAAATTGCGTAACTTGATGATTAACTTAGCTGATCATAAATTTAATATAAATTCGAATTTGATCCGGGTTATCCGGGTTAAACTATGATCGGGCCGAGTCAAGTTCGGGTTACACGGTTGATCGATCTCAATTTTCAAGTCGAATCACATGAATATTCGAATCGAATTCAAATATCCCTTAAACCCGACCCAACCCGACCCGTTAGGAGCACTAGCCATAATACGGAAACTGCCAAGAAAGTCCGTAAAACCTTCAAAAATTGGAAACGCCGTAAAAAAAAAGAAAGAATCAACGGAAATTACCTTAACCTACACTTCCTCTCAGTACTAGAAGAGTTCAACCCTAAATAAAGAAACGCCACGATTGTAGCAGCTTACCCGATTTTTATGAACGTGCCGCTTGGTACAGATATCTCACATGGTGATCACTGCGGCGATCGATCATCGAAGGTGTTACAGTACTTCTTCCCAGACGATACTTTCTTTCTTTGATATTTCAGAACAAGGACAGCAAATTACTTTCACAACCAGATTTGTTCCTTCAAAAGAACTCCCCACTCCGATAATGATACATCAACGATTACAAGTTACAGTACTGTTAGTTCACAAGCGGAAACTATTACGTTTCCGCTCTCACCTCCGAATACAAGAAGCTATAAAATACGATTTTATTTCGCATAGATTTTACTAACTAAAGTAATATAAATTATTTAGATTATTCAATTTATAACCAAAAAAAAAGTTATGAATCCTCTTAAATTAGTAATTCAAAGCGATTAATATTATAAAATAACAAGTAGTTGAGCTTAGAGGTTCTGTACTATATTATCCATCACGCTATTGCTTTGAAGGATATATCTTAATGGTGACAACCTATTTCTCCTACGCCCATCGATAAAGTACAAAATGTTGATAGCTCAATAACAACATGTGTTCCTTTTGGAGGGGTTAACTTTGAATCAAAATCCCAGTCCGACGTGAATGGAATTACCTTTGTCATCACAATGATGGGAATTAAAAAATTTGGGTTTCTTTAGAACATGCACTCTGAAATTTTCGTTATTTTTACGATAACTAATTATATATATATAGTATATGATATAAAGGTAAAGTGACCGATTGCGTGAGTATATATTTCTCTTCCATTTGCATCCTTATCACTGATATAAGTCGTGACTGTGATTCTGCTCGGTGAAAATGTCGCATTCTGAATCTGAGAACCTATGTAAAAAAGGATGGAATTAATTTTTTTATTAGTAGAGTTGTTAAATAATGGTAAATTAAAAATTGATTGAATAATAAGGAAAATGCAATGTAAATTATATAATTATGACTCATGACTAAATTATGATTGTTATGAATAATGTTCAAATTGTTACAGTATATGCCATTAACGTGTAAGAGAATTGGCTTATTTATATCACTTGTTTAAGAGCATTTTTTCTTTGAAAGAAATTTTTATCAATGTCAATCCATCGTGATTTCCCGTATATTATTTTTCAATCTGGATTGACCATTAAGCTATGATTCTCAAAGGGATAATGTCCTACATCGAAGCATCAAATAAGAATATATTATATTATTACATATATATATATTTTTATATTTATACTGTATATAAATTTACATATTTTTTACATATATATATAGTGACCGATGTCGATAGGGACAATCCTGACAAATCATAAATACCGAAAATTTCAATACTCATTATTCAGAACTTATCTTTTTTTTTACGTTATTATTAATATTTTTTTGGATATAATAATTCTGTAATACTTAACAATTAATATTTTTATTAATATATAATAATTTTAAAATGTTTCGCAAGAATTAACGCTTTTATTGTAAAAATCAATATTTTTTTATTAATACATCACAAAAATTAAAAAAATTAAATATATATTTTTTTATTAATATGTAAAGATTTTTAAAGTACTTCAGAAATTAATATTTTATTAAAATAATTTTAATATTGTTGTGTTAACGTTAACATTAACGTTCGTTTCTTAACGTTAAATTAACGCCAAAGCCCATCCACCACCCGCGTGACCGCCATACCAAAGGTCTTTTATTTCTTTCTTTATCATCTTTTTCTTATATTTCTTTTTTCTGATTGGTATTGAATAGTTATATCCCCATCCAATAACTGAGTTATACTGCGGTGACCAATAGGAATTAATGCTACTAATACTGATTTCAATGTTGGATGTCTCATGAAAATATCGGTAAGTAAAATCCCGCATATTTCTAATCGACTGAACAATAACATCAGGTTATTACTTTCTATAATTATATGATAAAAACTGACCCATTGCAATATTGATTTTTGCCAGAATTTTGGGACCCGTGTGAATAGATATCCCAGACCCATGGCAATGTCGTTTTTTGCCAGAACTTTGAGACTAATACCTTCTTGAGTAAAATCACAACTTATAACTATAATCTCCTCTTTGCACTATAAGAGTATTGATATGCCATAATTATAGTGTAAAGAAAATAAATATTAACTAATATTAATATATATACAATTTTTTATTTATTTATGGAAAAGATAATTCCAACAAGACATGCTATTTATTGATTTCTGATCGCACGACTTCATATTTTATTCAATAAAAAAATAATTTTTTTTTCTCCATCATATTAAACGTATGGGGGGACAAGGGCAGTTCCCACTAGAGGAGTACGCCTCCCAGAGTGCCTTCTTGCTATATTACTTTGTATTCTTTTTTTATTCCTTGCACCTCTAGCTCATTAAAATTACTAATTTGTTTTCCTGCCTAGCTGGAGACTCCGCAATCTCAGAAATACTAATTTGTAATCTTACTTAGCTAAACTCTTTGGAATTGTATAAATACTAATTTGATATTTTATTTAGCACTGGTTTTTTGAAAGCAAATAAGCTTACTGTATGCGGAACGAAGTGGAGCGGTAAGCAAATTGTAAATACAATAAGTGGGCAAATAGTGTTTGCAGTTTGCGGAGCGAAGCGGAGCATGTACGCAAGATATGGTATACAAATTGCCTCCCAATAGCATACTGCTTAGGTAGCAAGAGTAGGGATGGCAACGGTCGGTTATGGTCGGTTGTGGTCGGTTATAATCAGTTATAGAAATTTAAACAGTCGGTTATGGTCGGTTAAAAAATTGGTTAAACAGTCAGTTAAACGGTCGGTTAAACGGTCGGTTATACCATTTTACTTAAATAATTAGTCAAATGGTCGGTTAAACGGTTAAAAATGGTCGGTCAAATGTTTAAATGGTCGGTTAAACGGTCAGTTAAATGTGGTTAAATGGTCGGTTAAACGGTTATGATTATAACCGTTGCCATCCCTAAGCAAGAGAGAACAAGCATGAGGAGGAGCAGAGCGACGACGAATGCGCATTCGATATAGGAGAATAAGTATGAGTAGGCAAAGCCCTTTAGGGCGACGCCTATGAATACGCATTCGACGGGAGGGGATAATAGCAGGAATATGAGCAAAGCCCTTTAGGGCGAAGCGAATATGGATGCTATTATCTCCGACCCATATGCTACCTATTCTAATGTATGCTATATATGAGGCAAATATGAATGCCAATGTTGCGGAGCGAAGCGGAGTATGTAACCAAACTATAAAGCAAATCGTGAAAGCATATAAGATCACTCATGTTTCTAACCGGCAAGACAACAATGTCTGCTGGCCAATGTTGCAGAGCAAAGTGTGTAGACCTAGACCCATATCTGCGCCATTAGGCACGTTTAGTGAATTGTCGGGCGGGGTAGGTGGCCGGAGACAGTATTAGAAAAAATCTATTGTTCTTGAATATCAAAAAAACATATTTATAAAAGACTTCTATTGCCTAGAAGCTGTAATATAGAATCTTGCCTCGGCTTTTTTCATCATTGGGCCACCAGGTCTATATAGCCAGTTTCGGACATATTCTTGGATTACCCGGGATGCTTGATCACGTTTTTTGTCCTGAAGTTCTTGGATTGCCTGGGATATTTGACCCCATTTTTTGAGCTGAAGTTTGATTTTATAATAATTAGCTTTACTATAATACTTTCCAGCATGTTTGGTGCACATTCCATAAGAAGAAGCCGTTAGTATGCCACAATCACCACAAGGAATACGAGTTCGTCTTTTCCAATGAATATGGCATCCTTCTTTCCGGTAACATTTTTTTTCACATACACGACCATCAATATAGGTGTATGGACAAGAATAAAATGCCATGTCTTTCTGTTATTTTACAAATTAAATATTTTCTGAGGTTATTAAAACGAGATGACATCTAATATTATGGATTCAGATAAAAGAATGGAATCTTTATCTCAAGTGATGCCAGAAGGGCCAGCAAAAAAAGTGGAGAAAGTATTGCTAGAAGTATTGGAAACGGCAATATGCCAGAAATTTAAAGAGAATAGTAAATTTGTTAAAGATCATCTTAGCTCTGTAAAAAAATTGTGATTGGCAGAAAATCCTGATGGATATGCTAGGTATCTTGCAAGAAAACAAGTTCCAGATGAATTATCATATAATACAGGAATAGAGAAAGTTCAAACATGGTATCGGGGGGAACTGCGTACTAAACTAGAGAAATTATATAGCCTTTATTATAAAATATCTTAGGAAGAAAAATGTGAAATATCCAAAGAGAATGCGAAAGGAATTATTCAAGGACTTCTTAACATGTCACTTACAGATGATTAAATATGCAAATCTGATAACTTTCTTAACTTGTTAGCACCCACTGGGGTGGCAATTCAGTATCATGAGGAATTACTAGCAATTCTTCACGTACAAATGATCGTTCAGGACTATTGCCTTCATTATTTATAAGCCAATAAAGAACTGGCTGATTTTTTTGTACTAGTAATTTTTTAATATGGTAAACTTGTGGAGACCAATTTTTATCAGTTGCACGTCGTTTACTATCTCCTTCTAACTCGCCAGGTTCAAGCAAATATCTTATTAAAACATCATAAGTTAATCGCGGTTCATCATAGCCCATAGGCCCTTCTCGAGTTTTAGAAGACTGGGAAATGACCTGCTTCTTTTTTATTGCCATAGCTGGAGATAGATCTATAAGTCGGGTTATAGAATTATTAATATCTTCTACAATTATAGGCAGATTCTTTACCCAAGCCTGAAATTTTTCAGATAAATGCAATGTTAATAAGTCATGCGCATCCTGCATACGAAATAATCTCTTAGATAAAGTCTTGTTATAACTTTCAACAATACCCATAGTACGCTTAGACTTGGCCTTCTGAATTTTTACATTATGCTCTCTCATTAATTTCTCACAATCGCCTCTAAACTCTGGACCCTTATCTGTTAAAAATGTTTTCGGCCAAATAAGAGGGCACTCAGGGTCATCATATTTCTCCTTAAGCGCTCTAGCAATAGTCTTTGAAGTTAAGATCCCTTGCCTATCCCTGACACTATATGCACCTATAGGGACAGAAACTTTATATCTCGAAGCTACGTCCACAATATTAAGGCAAAAAAGATATGTAATCCGACCTATCTTATCATAGGGCATATAGAGAACATCCGCCTGGTGTACTTCATTGGGTATAGTGATAGAGCAAAAACTTGCTCAAGGAATATATCTAGGACGAGGTTTATGTATTTGGTGTATAGCCTGTCTTTCGAGCCAATCCCTCACTTCGTCTAGACTAAAATCATACCCAGCTTTTTGAGAGGTCTCAAACAATTTTTTCGCATTTCTCTGATAGCCAGCAGGCTGGTAGTAAATTTTTTGCAAAGTAGTAGTTACATCAAGTTCGTCTCTTCTAGAGGTATTTATCTGTATTATAGGAATCAACATGGATCAAGCATATATAGAAATCCTAGATACTAATAAAGAGTTGCGCAAAGAATTGGAGGATGAAATAGGCGAAAACAAACTTAAGAATAAAAAGCTAAAAGCCCTTTCAAGGGAGCTAGAAGCCTGTTATAGGACATTATCTCACCAGGATTCAACAATCTTAGCTCATGAAGACGAGATAGCATCTCTTAAGTCCGAGATAAAATCTCTTAAACAGCGTCTCTACAAAGCATTGCAGGATTTAAGGCATAAAGATGATGCCAGCACAGCTCAGGATATCCATATTTTAAGGCTAGAAGACAAAGTCGATCAGCTTAAGAAGCGAATTAGGGAGATTACAGATAAAAAATTATCCCAAATTAATAATTCGCCAATGGCACTGCCAGATATCTTAAGAAATATTGGTACAGCTTTAGATCGGGTTGAAAATTATATTGATGGGGTGGATACGACATTTAATCCAAAAAATACTCTGAATGGAATACGGATCTCATTAACAACTGTTCGTGGTCATATGCAAAGGCATGCTCAAGATGCTATTAACTTATAAGGCCAGCTTAATACTGCTCATAATTTGCTCAATAATGCTAATGGGCAGATAAATAACTTTTTTAATGATATGGCAAATGTTAGAAATGAATGTCTTCGAAGAGCTCAATTATTAACTATAGCATATAATAATGAGGCAAATGATCTTCTTCGTTGGTTTCAAATTGCTCAGGAAAGGCAAACTAATGGTCAAAGAATGGCCTTTAGAAAGCAGAATCTGATTAATATATTAGTACTAGAGAAGGCAGTTCTCCAAATATTAGCTAGGAGGCGCAAAGCTGAGGCCGACTTGGCAGAATTCAATCGTGCATGGGTATTTAATAGATACCAAAAATGGAAGGCTAGGGAATTAAATTCACGACAAATTATTTTGAATTTACAAAACAACCCACTCGGAAACATGGCTACTATTCAAGATGTTATGCATACATTATCACCTTTACTTGCACAATTACCCAGTTATGATGGGCAGGAACCACCAGATGTATATTATCAAAGGCTTAGAAATATAAATGAGACTGCACGTCCCTTAGCTGTTGTTGGTTTTAATCCTGGTGTAAGATGTCAAGTTATGATAAATAAGATGACAGGTAGATTTGCACCTGTTCCTGCTAATGATCCATATGCCGGAGGTAATCCAGCTATTGTTACTGAACCTCTCTTCCTAAACTGGTTGCGTGAAAGATATAGAGAAGTTATGGTAGGGACTAACCGAAGTGCTATATTTGCTCTTGTAAATGAAAAATTCTTTGAAACAGATACCCCAGATAGTTATGAAAAACGAATTAAACCACTAGTACAAGCAATGCAAGATGCTGATGCCTTACCTTATCTATTTAATCATTTGCCTTCTGATTTAGAAATGAGAGTTAGAATTGCTACCCCTGCTACCGTCAATGCATTTTTTACAGACTTACGCAATATATGGCATGAAAGTGCAGGCAAAAGAATACAAGCTCCTGCACCAACCCTGTCTCTTATACACATCTAGATGTGTATAAGAGACAGGACTTACGCAATATATGGCATGAAAGTGCAGGCAAAAGAATACAAGCTCCTGCACCAACCTCAGTTAGCTTTACTACTCAACCACAAAAAGATGATTTTAAAATTCGGTTAGCAAGAGATTTAGCTTATACAGGAATAGGAATAAATGACGCTACATTAGAAAATTTTATTTACGAAGAACTTAAAAAGAGGTTAGGAGGCACAACTGCCCATGTTAGAAAAAGCCCTTTTACGTCCAGAAGTGCTTATGCTACAAAGAAAGTTATTCGAAAGGTAGTGCCAAAAGCATCTGCAAAGCAAACTCGGCATTGCTCAGCATGTGGAAAGGCTGGTCATACAAAGGTTAATTGCCCCAAAGGCAAGCGGACTAAAAAAGTTAACTATGTATACCAAGATGAGGTAGAAGATCCTGAAGACTCCGAAGAATACATAGTGGAGGAAGAAGTGGTGGAAGAAGAGGAAATAGAAGATGATGAAGAATATGATGAATATGTTGATAAAAATGATGACGAACCTCGAAATTGCTATGCATCAAAAAAAAAGTGGTGCGAAGTGGAGTACCTATGAAAAAGAGCGGGTCCCAGAAGGACCGTGCCAAGACGAAAGAAAGAGCAACCAAGAAGTCCCCTACTTCCAAGTCTCATACTAGCAATATAGTTATGGCTGAAAATTATATGTTTCAAATAGCCTTAAAATCTACAATATCATCATTAGTCCCTCATTGTCCTAGAGAGATTCTTATAGAAATTTCGAAATTTATTAATATGATATTCACCAAAATAAAAGACCATTGCTTGAATACTGCTATGTCGAATGATACGGTTAAAAGAAGGGAATTAGCATGGGGAAATGTTATAAGTAAATTCGAAGACATCTTATTTCCACTATTGCAGGCAGTAAATAGTGAGCAGAAGCCTCTTTTACAAGTTCCAGATAATAATGAATCTATCCTGAATGCCCCCAGTCTTAAAGAAGATATAGTTATGGCTGATTCGACTAAAATTAAGGAAATTAATACTACATCCACTAGTCATGTTTTACCAGAGAACATCCGGCTAGAACATGCTATTAAGGCTTATGCATCGGCTCAAAAAAAAAATAGCCAAATATATTGGCCCAAGCCCTTAGAGATAAATTTTTTACAAATAAAGGATGCTGACGACGTTGCAACCATCTCCTGTAAGGTGGGGAGCGTGACTATACCCTATGCAATGATTGATAGTGGATCAGACTCGTCAATAGTCTCAGAAAATGTTGCAAAACATTTGGGTCTAAAAATAGATAAGAAAAAGATTCATAGTCTTAATGGTGTTGCGAGTAAGTCCCATTCCCTTGGTACAGTTGATAGTGTTCCTGTAACTATTGAGGATGGAGAAAATAGAGACACCATTCCGGATGAATTCTCTGTCGTCCCTACAGAATATGATGATAGTGGAAAAGAACTATCCCTATTTATTCTTGGAACACAATGGCAGTATCGTGCAGGATGGGAACCCTTAGTGAAGGGGGAATTTAAGGCAAGCCGAAATGGGAAGACTATTACTATCCCCTTATCAGTTCATAAATCCCAGCGTAATGTTTTTACTGTAGGGAAGGATCCAGAACCTATAAAAAAAAACTAGCTGATCGAACTTGTATGTATTGTGGAAAGGAATTTAGATATCCTGCTAATCTTAGGCAACATTTTTTACGAAAAAATCCATGCGCAGTTGAGAAATCCCATGTAAAGCCCATGCAAAATTTGGCAGACCCATGCGCAGTCAAGAATTCTCATATAAAGCCCATGCAAAGTTTATCAAACCCATATTTAGAAAAAAATATGGTACCCATTCGGTTAAGCCTTGCCTAGACACGAGTTCGAAAAGTATATTTTTTTCGGATGTTTAGATCATCNGCGAGTAAGTCCCATTCCCTTGGTACAGTTGATAGTGTTCCTGTAACTATTGAGGATGGAGAAAATAGAGACACCATTCCGGATGAATTCTCTGTCGTCCCTACAGAATATGATGATAGTGGAAAAGAACTATCCCTATTTATTCTTGGAACACAATGGCAGTATCGTGCAGGATGGGAACCCTTAGTGAAGGGGGAATTTAAGGCAAGCCGAAATGGGAAGACTATTACTATCCCCTTATCAGTTCATAAATCCCAGCGTAATGTTTTTACTGTAGGGAAGGATCCAGAACCTATAAAAAAAAACTAGCTGATCGAACTTGTATGTATTGTGGAAAGGAATTTAGATATCCTGCTAATCTTAGGCAACATTTTTTACGAAAAAATCCATGCGCAGTTGAGAAATCCCATGTAAAGCCCATGCAAAATTTGTCAGACCCATGCGCAGTCAAGAATTCTCATATAAAGCCCATGCAAAGTTTATCAAACCCATATTTAGAAAAAAATATGGTACCCATTCGGTTAAGCCTTGCCTAGACATGAGTTCGAAAAGTATATTTTTTTCGGATGTTTAGATCATCTTTAGCGTCATCATGCCATCTAGTCCACAATACTTTGGCTTCTTTTTCATAAAAGATAGTTGGCTCTATAGTATTATCTATACAGTCAGGATTGATAGAACGGATTCCATCATAATAGGCAATAATTGTTTGGTCTTTAGAATAGATAATATCATCCAATGTCTTGATAGTTTTTTTAACCGAAGAAAGGACATGTTTAAGATCCTTTATTTCATTTTTAGATCGTGATAGGGATGCTGATAACTTGCCAATCTCCTTATCTTTCACAGCATTAGATTTATCCAAAGCACAGATACGAGATTTGTATTGCCTCTCCAAGTCATCTGAGCCGGATTTCTGTTGCTCTTCTAGCTGATGTTTGAATGAATATATTTTCTGTTTCATATCTACCATACAATTATTATATTCACTCTCCAGACGAGACTTAAGAGCATCATATTCATCTTTTAGATGTTTACGTTCCTCAGCAACCTGGGCCTCAATAGTTTTCTTAATATTATTCTCCCGTTGCTGTACATGAAGCTCACGTTCCTCTAACTGTTTCTCAAATCCATCTAGCCGAAATAAGGTGGAGGATCCCTCTGGGATCGCATTTGCTTCAATCTTAATCTTCTGGCGATTTTTTTTGTTATGGTATCTATTAACCTCCCTAGTAAGCAACTCCTCAATGTCTGGATGGATACCCCTAACCTGCTCCTCAGATAATGGTTTATTTTTGCAGTTTGTAAGGCGTAACCATACATCCTTTTTCATGGATGGGGGTAATTGGTCAAGCAAACTCTTATAGTGATCATTGAAATGTAGTTGGCTGGCCATATGTTTGAATAGGGTAAGTATATAGTCTTGGAAAATTCCCGGAAAAAAAAATATTCCAGGAAGTCCAGAAATTCCATATTTTCCCAGAAGTTTAGGTATTCCATTTGTTTCCAGCAAAACTTTCCGCCTAAAAAATTAGCCAAAAAATTAGCCAGGCCTAGATTCTGGGAAAAAAAATACTAAGAATATTCTCAGAAAATTCCTCCTAAACAATTGTGATTTCCGTTCCATCTTCTAATTTTAACACTGGCTGATTAAGATGGTTTATGGATGGTAGTAAATTATTTTGTTTAGCATACAGAGACGACATAAATACTTTACTTGTGACCCCTGGCTCTGAACACCTTTGGCTGGGACCCGATGAATGATAAGAAGTTGGTGAAATACAAGTTGGCTCGAAATTTGGAGCACTTGACATAGTATTTTTTGCTATGGTTGCGGTCTTTGCCTTAAAACAAGAGTAATTCCAATGATTCTTCATCAAATCTTCAGACTCAACTTCATAGGCCCATCTGCCCCAACCACTATAATATACTTTTCTAGGCTCTACTTCGGTAATCTTCACCAATTTCCAGCATTTGAAACAAATAGCCATCTGACTTTTATGGACACTAGGTTTACGATATCTGAAATGATCTTCAAATAACTCACCATTAACATTGAATGTTTTGGATTTTAATTGACCAAATGAAGCGAAAAGGCAGTACACATGGTATACACTATATTCTCGCTTAGAAAGTAGTTCTTGCAGAGAACCTCTTATACGATCAGCCCATTGCTGGGGTGTTTCATGAGGTCTAATAATAGATAAATAATCATATTGTTTTTCTATTTCAACCACTTTTTCATACCGATATTCATCAGTTTGAGGACCATTAAAAACATGTTCCATATCATATCCGGGGCGGAGATTGATAGGTTTAGGCACAGTTTTATTATAAATCTTATCTAATATGATCTTAACCATAGCACCGGGCATAGCTACGCTAGTATAACTATTTATTAGTAAATTAGTGATTTATAGCAATTTCAGAGTTTTATGGTATTTTTAATGAATTCTGACGATTCTTTAGCAACTTATTCTTTAGAATATCGTCATTCATTTTTTGTACTACATGAGATCAGTTTTAGCTCCATAACACCATCATAGCGCTAACATGGAACCAAGAATCATGGGATGATCGGCTAATTATTTTCCGATGATTTCATAAAAGCAAGGGCTTTTTCTATCCCCTGCACCTGCGCCTTTATTTCAATAATTTCATAGCGCAGTTGACTATTAGCCTTAATTCGTTCCTCATTTTCCCTAGACAGATTTTGCATAAATCGGCCAAAGGTTTCTTTATTATATTTAAGCATTTGCTTTTGCAGGACATTAACCCGGCTATTAATTTCCGCCTCATGATCACATACAATATTACCTGTTTGTGTTCCATTGTCTGTGACGTAAGAAATAGGCAATGTTAAGGGTGCCGGGCATTCAGGCCAACTTTGGGGGCGTAATTTTTTCCGATCCATAGTTTTACGATTCCGGTCTAATGATTTCTGGTAAATCTCTAATGTATGGAGCAAATAATCCTCTATACGCTTATTTTTCTCTGAAATCTGGTTTAGAGGAATGGGTTTGCGCGAATGATTTAGGAGCCTTTGATACGCCCTATCTCTTATGCTTACTGGGAGTTTATCAGTAATATGATTATATTCAGTATGGAACATTTTATTAGATATAGTTTTGCGCAAAAATCTTGCATGCAAAAATTTATTATTTAAAAATAACATTCGGAGCTTTATTAAAATTTTTAGATAGATAGATAGATGCCTTCCGGCTAAGAAATATAAAAAAAAAAATGGGTAGGAAGATAGCAGATGAAATAAATGATGCACAAAGAGTCATAAACACTCTAAGAGGGAGGGAGTAGTACTCGGATCCTAGGCCATAAAATGAGAGTCCCAGCATCAATTTATTTCGCACTACTACCCCCATTGAAGATGGTACCGTTATTACTTCTATTACTACTGCTACTGCTACTATCGCTAAAACTAACTACTTTCTTATTTCCCTCCTTTTCAACCCATGCAATAATTTTATCCATAGAAGTTGTTCTTGGAGATTTTTGGTGACGGTAAAAACTAGCTAAAGTACTAGCACTAAGACCAGTTTCGATTGATAAAATATTGTACAATTGCGTTGGAGAACGTCCTTCCTTTTTCCTCCTGTTATTAAAAAGAGCCGTAAACTCGACCCAGTATGTTTCATATTCATCCGTATATTCAGAACATTGTCCCATGAAAACGTGACTTGTGGAAGAGAATCGGTTCGATCCAGCTAGATAAAAAATAAGGCGCAGTCGGCGCAGGTAAGTATTATGCATATCGGTTAATTCTTTTTCCTATCACATGTCATACCTTGGGACGAAGCATCATTTCGCCATTCAGCTTCTGTACGTATTCTTTGGAGCTCATTGCTTAAAGTTAGGAGGGTTCTTTCAAGGTTATTGTTTTTATCTTGCATCCCCATTAGATATTTACGAGAAAGGAAGATAGCGATGGCAAGGATTATGTAAATGCTTGTATTTCCCGAAAGAATTCCCTGGATCATGTCCATAGTTAGGACATCATGGCTTATCATCTCGAAAATAATAACTACGATGCTGAAAACAGCAAACAAAAAAATATCTGAGAACATTGTTTTAGTTTGTTTTAGATTGATTTTTGATATATGCAAAATTATTCTTGTTGGAGGAAAAGAAATACCAAAGCGCTTCTCTAGAAATATCCCTTTTATATGTTTTACAATCGCCAGGCAAAATTAAATGCCCATATATACTAGCATAGAGAATCCGCATCGAAATATGGATCTGGAATAATCGTGAAATGTTGTCATAATTTTACCTGATCCCTTTAAGATCCCCCTATTTCTGAAAAAAGAAAATTATCAAGATCCTCTCCGGCGTCTGTACCTAAAGACGAAAAAAGTTAGTGCATTCCCGTACCCCCATATCCCCACAACATGTTTCAAACAATAACGATAATAATATTTTTCGTAAATGCTTGGCCGTGAGACCTTACGCAAGAGAAGATTTTTATTAATAAAAATTTATTGAGATATTCGTTAGGTAGCTTTACTATTATGTATGTACAGTATGTGAATAAGCTATATTATGCATAGCGCTTCGGCTAAAGTACTATTCTCTTATTACATTTTTATCTAAAGAAAGACCAAAGGAAGTACTAAATAACTATCTAGATTTTTTTTTTCTTGCTTCGAATTTAAGAATATAGGACTTCTTTTCCTTCGTGGCGCAGTTCGATATAAAAAACCTTCATTATCATAGGTAAATGCAGATCAAAACATGAAATCTGTTGTAAGGAAATAGGCGGGTATTTATAAAAAATTTCAGATTTCCGCAGGCAGTTCCGCATGAATATTTTTGCGAAAAATTAGCCATTCTAGGATAAAATTATCGGGAGCAATGGCGTAACTTCACCCCCCTATTTTCAGGAGACGCATGTGTTTAGCCCCTTTGATCGCTTATCTTTGGGCGTAGATATCCGATCTACGAAAAATCGAATCATTTTATAATCAGGATCTTCATAAAAAATAGGGGGGAAGTTGTATACTAAAACTTTCTGCAGATTCACATGAGCCGGTTGACGTATTACTGCGGAGAAGTATAGATGACGTTTTACTGCGCATGATATCTAAGCCACCCACATGATTTTGGCGAATATATATCTTTAAATGATAATTTATCTTCGAGATTCAGGACCTCTATATTATAACTAATACACTGTACATTGCTATTCAATTTTTTTTTATTACATGCGAAAAATAAATACAAGATCGGGATATTACCCATGATACATGACGTCTAGGCTAATATACATGTAAATAGGCGATTATTTTTTCGTTCGATATCCCTCTACCCTCACCCTCTTCCTATCAGGTTCTTCCTCCGCACATGCCCTATCCTTTATTATCCCTACCACCACACTTAAAACCTTTTTCACGCCATTACACAGCGTTTGATATTCCACGGACTTTTTATCCAAAGCATCTTCGGAAAATTCGATGCTTAACGGAAGTTTGCTTCCTTGAGAAATTCTTCCAGGGGTATAGAGCAGGAAGTGCCAGTCTCGAGCTGTTGTCACTATACCATATAGATAATCGTAGTCATCCCCATCGCCCCGCTTTCTCTTCTTCTTGTTCGTTTCGTACGAACTCTCGAGCTGTTTGATATTCTGAGCGAAGCCTTCGATTACATTCCGCTGTGGTTTGTCCTCCGTAATGCAAATAAGGTTCTCGACATCCTGACCGGAGGAAGAATAAAGTATGGCGTTAGTATGGCTTATATATCATATAAAAAAAAGTGCGGACATGCATCACTCACCTTGATCGCATAATCAACCCGCCCAGAGCTTTCTTCACCTATTACTTCATATTCAGGCCTCATACTTAATTCTTTCCCTGTGTCATCCCTGGTTATATTTATAGCGGAATGAAGAATGGCCACAACGTACTCATTGCGCATGGCTTCCAAGCTATCCACAACCAAAGTTCCGTAATTTTTCAGCCTGACTAATATTTCCGCCATACATTGCTTGAAGTGCTCGTTAGTATCCTCTATCTCATATGACTGCAGTGAAAAAAGCGGGATAGTGTCTGTACCGTTGCCATCAATACCGTATTTCGCTAACACCTCACTCAAACTCTTGTACGAGGAGAACGCACGCTTCGGCTTTTCTTTGAGGGCCTTGGCCTCTTTTGCGAGAAGTGTTGCTGGTCCTATCTTCAAACCACACTCCTTAAAATCGTCCTTGGTCATGTCGAGAAAGGAAAGGCCGGTAATTTTTTCGTTGCGGAGTATTCCCAAGTCATCGTCATCGAGCTTGAGGTTCTGCTCTTTCAAAAAATCGATAAGGGTTTCTGTATCCCAGTTCTCAACTAAGTAAGAGTCGTGTTCAGCTGTTGAGGTAGACATAGCGTTACGTTTTTATAGGGATATTTGGCTCGGACAAAAATAGTGTTACGTTCCGGAGTAGGATAAAAATTTATTTATGTTCGGGAATACTGGGCGTTAATATAGGTTTTTATGTCGCACAGGCATTACATCATCACACGTGACCGTTTCTCATATACGTTCGATAAAATAATACTTTATTTATGAAATAAAAACATTGCCGGAAGGGTCCCAGAGGGACCAAGTCGGCCTACAATACATAAAAATGCGACTATATCGCTATTACATGATGTGAATAAAAAAATTCCTAACTATCTTTGCTTAGTACCTCCGGCACCCTTTCAGCGGGAGGGTACACGATAACATTAATTCCCATTTCACCATCAAAGATACGTTGGGGTTGTATAGGAAAATGAGTAAAAATTGTGTCTTGCGGTTCCATTCTTATTGCACCTTCTACTTCAAATTCACTGATGTTTCTTAAGCTGTTGATTATGACACTATCAGCTATAAATGCGACCCTATATAAAGCCAAATTGGTCGAATCTATATATTGAAATCGATCTGGACGACGGGTTTTGACTGCCTCCGCGAGAGAAGAGACTCTATTGTTGTTAGCGTTAGATATCGTTACTTCGAAAATATCGTTCACTCCCTCATCAGAAATGAGACAGTTGAGAGTAATATCCCCACCAGCGAGAAACTTGTCAAGCTTGTCAGGAGTCTTGTTCTTATCAGATTCCTTGGTCTTATCAGACATCTTGCTTTCCTAAATACAAGACCCATGGTGAGAAAAACTCGCTCCCGTACATTCATAACTTCTGACATATACATACCTTAATTTTTTTTCGCAGGGATGTTGGGTGAACTTCCACATGCCCTTACATGCTTTATATCTTGCTGGGAAAAAGTTAGGGAGGTATGAGGCGTGATTAGCATTGTCGTATGATGCCAAGAGCTCTATGAAAGCACATGTAAACGGAATCCTCATACCTTTTCACATGTAGATCTACCGAAGAGATACATAGTTGGTCTTACGCCTGGCGATCTCGAAATTGCAAGTCCCTCAGCCTTTCATAACATATGCTTTTGCCGTCAGTATTTACTTTTAGAGTAGGTCCTGTGTTGCAACTAGACCTCCCTTCACATTTTCTCTCATTTGTTTGGGGAAAAAATAGAGGAACTGGTTAGTATATAACTTCGATATGTGAAAATTAATATGTCGCACAAGACCTGACTGATGATCCACTTATTTTGTCGCACAATCTGGTCGAAGGCGCAGTGCATGGCTCAGCAATTCTTCCGAGCTGATGATCATTTCTCCGGACTAGCATTAATCGAACTGCTTGGGGAAATTGGGATCGGAATTTTACTCACATCGCTTTTAAACAATTTTACCATGTTTTCTAGCGCCTCTAATTTTTTCTCGAATACTTTGGTTAGCTCCTCCGGATCGCTAGGTAATTTATTGGATAAATCTTTTTCACTTGGTCCCTCTGGGATCCTTTCGGCTTGGCGCTCGCTTTCCATTTCTACCTTCTACTGCGGAAATTAGTCTAATTATTGAGAAAAAAAATATGCAATAATTAGTTGATTATGCTCCGGACTATTTTGATCGTACTGCTCGGGCTGGATTCCTTCTAGGTTTCGCCTTCTTATTGCCGGATTTTTTCTTCACACACTTTACTTTGCAAATATTCTTTTCTGAGCTGGTAGGCGCTTCGCATTGCTTATATTTATAATCTGAATCGGATGAATCTGAATCGGATGAAATCTCTTTACCTGGCTCTACACCAGTTTTCTCTTCTACATAATTTTCTATACATTCTACAGTTGTTTCTAGCTTTTTAATTTGCACAAATAAAGCACCTACGTTATTTTTTAGCCAGTCTGTTAAAACCAGTAGCTTGGCACCTTCTTCATCTTCTAAATATGTTTCGCTAGGCATCCTATTGTTTGATAAATGCTTGGTCCTGGAGGTATCATTTCGTCTGACTACCATCTTTTCTATAACTGAATATTTTTTGCCCCAGAAAAAAAAAATATAATATAATAATGTATGCGATCTGACTACTTGTCACTATCTAGCTTATGTGGATGAGCTGGACATGTAAGACGTATATTCGTTTTGATATTTCTCTGGGAGCTTGGCCCTTATAGCTCTTTTTTCGGCTTTAACGGCGGTGTCTTTCATTGCACCAGAGACAGGTAAGTCTTACATTCTGAAGATAATGACCCTCAGAATCGTCTATCCGATCAATCGAAAATGATTGCGGATGGCGCTTCGGATAGCCTTGGAATAAGAGTGGAACATAACATACCTTACAAACTTTCTTTTGCTGATATGCCATAGAAATTATCTCTTCTGGCGTGATTGATGGAATAGCTTTCTCCTCATCATTCTCTGCTAGATAGAGCGGATTCTCACATACCGTAGTGTCCTCAATCAAATCAGTCTTATCATCTACCTCCCAATCCTCAGCTATCATAAGCGGTCTTGGAAAATGTCGCTTCTTTTTCCGATCATCTAGCCTATGGCGTCTTAATTTTGCCTCAATAATTTGGGGACAAGGAGTTGCTTGGAGTTCAGTAGGTTCGATATATTCAAGGACACCGTCTGGTGGTTTAACTCGAATCATTTGATTCATGTATCGTACTCGACTGCAGGCTGTATATACGGCATTGTTAATCCAGCCTTCCAGGCTATGGTCCACAATGAAACAACGTTTCGGAGGCTCGACAGTCTGTCCTTGGATTCGATGAATTGTTCCCCAGCCGGCATATTTCCACTCAGCAGGAAGTCCACGCAGTACTATCTCAAGTGGTACATTTATCATCGTACCAACATATGCTTCGATAATTTCATTGCTACCCGGGATCTGCACAGGTTTCCCTTGGATACGATACATATGCTTGATACTTTCATCTGGGTCAAAACGGATAATTGAGGGTACATTGAGGAAGCGTGACTTATGAGCCTGTATTAATGCACTTTCAACTCGCATACCCATATCATTTGTGGAGCAAATCCAAATATCTTCTGGAGTCCACTCAGTAAGTGCATTCTTCCATGATGTTGTAGGTAAAGCCTCACGGAATTCTTGCAATTGGGTCATATCATCTTTCATCCACATGCGTAATTTTAATGCCTTAAGTTCGGGATCATAAGCACGATAATCGTCCATGCACCAGATTACTTCATCAGCCCACTCGGTAAGAAATTTATGCGGACCTTCTTTATCACCCCATGGTGTAAGTTGACCTGGATCTCCACACATAATACTTTGGCATCCACGACTTTCGGCATATGACAATAATCTCTGCAATACCTTCTTAGGAATCATGCATGCCTCATCAAAGATAAGTATTTCGGCTAGAGCTTTTTTTCCAAGACATGCAGGATCCCACTCATCGATAGGTGTTGCCCCTAGATGAAAATACTTATGGTATGTCATAGCCGTTAAGCCTGGATTTTGCTTTCTATGGTATTCTGCAAGCAAATTTGCTGGTGTGAGAACTACAACCTTTCGACCAGGGAATGCACGAATGGCTCGTGTTGTTTTCTCGCTACCGCCTTGGCCAACTAGATAAACTTTTTGCAATGTTATTAGTTTCGAATCAATAGAAAGAGGGGGTGCGTCGCTTGGAGGGATTTCTAGTGTACCTTTATAATTGATAGCCCAGGATGATGCTTCTTTACGATAAGTATATCCCTCTTTTTTCTTGCGCCATTGACCATACTTAATTTCTGGTGTTTCTAGAACAATAGCTGATTCATACTGCTTTCTTATTTTATCTAGTTCAGCCTCATATTTCGCATGCACTTCTTCTAACTCTGCACTATTTTTCGCTTTAGCAAAGAGGCTTTCATCAAAATCGGGGAGTAATTTTTGCCCCATCTCAACAACAGTTTCATCTAAAATAGTTTCGGAAATTGCTGTGGTGTAAATGGCATCTGTACATACTCGTAGTACATTTTCTATCGGAAAACGTTTTAGCTGTTCGAGTACAGCAATATGGGTATAGGCAAGGACAAAAGAACGGATATGCAACCATTGCCCACGCTTTTCATCACCTTCATACTTGATTAAAGTTCCTTGCTCTGTTCGGGTCCAGTTTGGTCGGTGTTTATTTTTGCTAGCCAGTTGACTAACATATCCGCTTCATTTATATCCCGAACTAAAATGGATGTTACTTGCGCATTACGTGCACAAGAGCCCACGAAGCGAACAGCTAAATCACGATCTGGTGGAAACTCAATACGGGATTTTTTACCTACGCTATATATAACTTCTCTTGGAGTTGCGCTTGAAAGCCATCCTCTGCTTAGCAAATAATCGACTAAGGGCGTTGGTATCCAACCTTCTTTTTCTGCAAGATGTTGCCCAATAAGTCCTGCTGTAAATGGATGCAAGTTTAGAGCGAATTCCCATGCTATAAGCTGAACAATACCTGTCAAGTTGCGAATAGTATCTATATTGTCAACTTGAGCACGTCGCTGTATCCTTTCTGGGAATCCATATCGTCGGACCCAAGGCAATGCTTCTGATGCACTTCGTTCTGAATCTTCACAGCCAAGATACGCTCCACGAAGATCTATATGAATATGCTTGGGGGAGGATCTATTGGTGCATTCCATACCATTGATTCCACCTGTGATTTATGCCAGATCTCTACAACATTTCTAGGCGTAGGCGCAATAGCTTCTTTTTCTCGCCAGCAACGGAATCGATAAGACTGGGCGCCTCCTAATGATTTCAAGACTTTATCAAACTCAGCTTTAAGCTCTTCTGAAGGAGACGGTGTATTAGATTGATACTCATCTTCAATCCATTGACGAATATCTACATTTTCTCCTCATAAAAGTTCTTCAGGTATGGATTGCGATTTTTCACATATGAATGCGTCGTTCAGCTTCTTCCATTCATAAGAACTACGATAAAGAATACCTTCATGAGTTAGAATCTCCTTACCTACAATCCATATTCTTGTAGCTCTTGGAAGGTTTCTTGCGACAAATGATATAAGAGCTTCAGCAATCTTTTTTTCATCGATATTAACCTCCCCCTTCTTAGTTTTCGTGCATGCGGAAACAAGTGCTCTTTCACATTCATAGTCCATATCATAGACTGAAGATACTCGAGGCATTTCAGGTATACCTCCTGTCCATGCATGATTATTATGGCAAAATACTGTTAGCTTACGTTGTTTAAGATACCTACCACTATTCCACATTTCGTTACCTAAAATATCCTTGATGACGATTTTCATCCCTATACCTCCAGATTTTTCCGGCTTTTCAAGGATATGCAAATCATCTAAAGTACAGCCGGGTGCTCGTACCTTTTCATTAAATTTCGCAAGGGCACTTTCACGAGCTGGCGTTAGCCCTATGGCCCGCTTTGTTCCTCCATGCTCTATTAGTCGTTGTAATTCTGCTACGATACAATTTAAGTCGCCATCATAAAATGGTCCTGGTGGTCCTTGTGGTCTCGGAACTGGTCGAAGTTCATAGCAAATATGCTTAACATACTCTCAGGTTTTTAATACTAAAAATTCGTTAATTCCCTTTAGTTGTCCTGGCGTAATTTCTTCTCCAGTAAGACTTCCGGCTTTCTTTTTCTTACCGAAATGCCATCCTTTATCTCCCATTTCTTCGACTATACCTTCAGATGTGTAGAGTCTAGTAAAAAGTGTATACTCTGTAGAATGATAAAGAAGACGGCAAGCTTCTGATGCCATTTTATAGCTAACTCCGACTAATTCATCACTATGCCACCATACAGTTCCATCTTCATGAATTCCTGGACCATATAATTTTTGACGTGGACATGACATGAACTGAAAACGTAATGTATAGGGCAGGCCTTCTAGCTCAAGATTATATGGCTCGTCTTGATACTCATCAAGTTTAATCGCATATGAATCTTTCCAGGATAACCACCCCCTTTTATCTATTAATAGAAGTTCATCCAGGCTGGCTTTCCCATAAAAATGAGCACACAATGATGGCCATCCATGAGGATCCATGTGATACTCTTCTTTTCCTTCTGGAACCCATACCTCCTTTATGCCCAAAAAGGCACCAGATTTATCAAGTTGTATTTGCTCTACCATTCTACCCATTTCCCAATCATTAGCCACCCCAATAACATATTCTTCTTCATCATCCATTAGATCCCGAATTTTCTTAGCATAATTATTTGTTATATGTGGTTTATATGCCTCTCTAGCAAGATGCCAGTACTCAAATCCATCTTCATTTTTTACCTTTTTGGGCGCTAACTTTGGAATTCATCTTGAAAACCACCAAATCGATCCATTCTCATGCCGTTCTGGATTTTCTTTTCCTAGCCACTCCTGCTTGTCTGCCCATTCATCAAATGTAGTGGGAAGTATCTCTTCTGATTTTTTGGCTTAGAACCCTTTACTGGACCCGCTAGCCAGTCGGCCAATTCATCTATAGATTTGTTTTGCGAAACATCATGCGTTCCATTTCTTTTTTCCTCAGATACCACCTGAAGTTGTGCGATTTCCTCTTGATACTTAGCAAGCAAATCATTGGAACGTGGGTATGGTATCACGTCTAACGTTACTCCTTTAAGCTCTGCAAGTTTGGCTCGAATTTCTTTACGAATATTTGCTTGGTTAGCTTGACGAGATGACATCTTATATAGAATATCTTTCACGGTGTAATAATATCCTCAGAAAATTTTTATTCAATTAATTAATTCTCCTCCTGCCTTCATATATGTCGAAGCAGAGTACTATTTATCTTTTTCTGAGCATTACGAAGAAAAAGGCCACCTACCCCGCCCGACAATTCACTAAATGTGCCTAATGGCGCAGATATGGGTCTAGGTCTACACACTTTGCTTTGCAACATTGGCCAGCAGACATTGTTGTCTTGCCGGTTAGAAACATGAGTGATCTTATATGCTTTCACGATTTGCTTTATAGTTTGGTTACATACTCCGCTTCGCTCCGCAACATTGGCATTCATATTTGCCTCATATATAGCATACATTAGAATAGGTAGCATATGGGTCGGGGATAATAGCATCCATATTCGCTTCGCCCTAAAGGGCTTTGCTCATATTCCTGCTATTATCCCCTCCCGTCGAATGCGTATTTATAGGCATCGCCCTAAAGGGCTTTGCCTACTCATACTTATTCTCCTATATCGAACGCGCATTCATCGTCACTCTGCTCCTCCTCATGCTTGTTCTCTCTTGCTACCTAAGCAGTATGCTATTGGGAGGCAATTTGTATACCATATCTTGCGTACATGCTCCGCTTCGCTCCGCAAACTGCAAACACTATTTGCCCACTTATTGTATTTACAATTTGCTTACCGCTCCACTTCGTTCCGCATACAGTAAGCTTATTTGCTTTCAAAAAACCAGTGCTAAATAAAATATCAAATTAGTATTTATACAATTCCAAAGAGTTTAGCTAAGTAAGATTACAAATTAGTATTTCTGAGATTGCGGAGTCTCCAGCTAGGCAGGAAAACAAATTAGTAATTTTAATGAGCTAGAGGTGCAAGGAATAAAAAAAGAATACAAAGTAATATAGCAAGAAGGCACTCTGGGAAGCGTACTCCTCTAGTGGGAACTGCCCTTGCCCCCCCCCCGTATAATAACATTAATAAAAGTTATTTATTAAATTACAAATCAAAGCTCAAAATTTATTATTAATATAAAGATAGTACATTTTCTGAACTTTAACTTTTATAGAAGACGAATATTTATTTTAAACCTCTGCCACATAATTTAATTTAATTATTTAGTATATTAAATCACTAGTGATTTGACCATTTTACTATTAATTTCGTGGAATAAATGAAAAATCTTTTTTCTAATAAAAGCTAAAATCATTTTTTTTTTTATTAGCCGTATTACTTGTGTGCATGAAAGAGTGGTAAATAAAGGAAGACAAGTAATATTAAGATTTAGAACGGGACAAATTGTAAGATTACCGAATCAATTTCAATGTTGTGTACAACGATCATCATCCATATTAATATTCGTTTTTACTAATAAAGTAAGTCTGGTCTTATTGACAACCCAAATTTATAAATAATTGATCGACATGTTACGATGATGGCGCTCGCATTAGGAGGACAAAATAAGTATGGCTGCTCACATCACTGAGTCACATGTCTTTTACAGTTTATGCATCATATGAAATATTTAACCTTTATTATAATAATTTTACCTAAAATGTGTTAAATATAAATTAAAATAGTTCTTTGTTTTGTGTTTTCGATCATGGAATCCGCTAGTCTACTTCAGGAAATTTATTTAACTATTGACACCATCGTGGGAGTATTCTACGTATATCTCCGAATAATGAGACTCTATTTCCACGTCTTTCTTAATAACAAAAAGAAAATTATTTTTATATAAATATAAAGATATTTGAATTTCATTCAAAAAAAAACCCAATTTTTGAGCGTACTTTAATTTATTAATAATTGAAAAAAAAATTTTACCATGGAAAATCATCTAGTACACATGTATTTAAATACTTTTTTTTCGTGCTTTTTATTTTTAATTTTCTGTAATAATTTTTTTTAAAATGTATATGTGTATATATTATTATTATTATTATTTTATTAAACGTTGTTTATAGCTAGTTATACAATTTTTTCCGTTAATCTTTCTACTCTTTTTCATGCTATTTTTAATACTACTTATAAAAAAAGCATTACAGTGAATAAAACACGTGATTAACAGTAAATACAAATATATAACTTTTCTAAGTAAAATGTAACAAAAGTATTAAATATTTTTTTTATTATACAGGTATAAAAAGATTTTTGGGAAGATCTCGACCCTATGAAAAAAAATCATCCAATTTTTGTACAATATTTGCTCAAGTTCGTGTGGAAATTGTACAATTATTGCAGATTTTTGGATAAAAATAGCTATGAAGTTTTTCAAAGCATATTAAAAGTATGCAATTTTTGTATAACTTAAATTTAGGATATAGAAAATGTTCAATTTTTGTTTTATCTTTATACAACTTAAATTTAGGATACAGAAAACATTCAATTTTTTTACAATAAAAATTGTGATTATTGTACAACTTGAAAATAGATATACGTAAAGCAATTTTTGGATAATCCTACTATACTACTTTCCATCTTACCTGTATGGTTACATTTGACCACTTTTAGGGTCAAATAGACCACTTTTAACCATTACAAATATATTTTCCTAAGTAAAGTGATTTATGCAGTAATGTTACACAAAATTTAATTGCATATTTGCTTATAAACAGGCATCTTCCAGACCCATTGGTGAAATTTTTGTATTATCTTGTAACTAAAAAAAAGTTAAAAACTTTTTATTAGGTTACAAAATTAATTCTGACTGGAATTATAATTTGGCCAGAATTATGCGGTAAAAATCAACTCTTAAAATTATATATGTTGATCACGTGATCTGATCGTCAAAATAAATATGACGACGTGAAATGTTTTTGTTTATGTTTTTTTAACCTTTTAACTTTTCTTCAACTTTCTTTTAAAATATCAGGTAAGAAAAACTTGTGTTCTTTATCTTTTTATTTTCCTAACTTTTTACATTTTAATGTTACTAACTTGCTTTCTTCACTAACTTCATACTTTTTTTTATTACTAATACTAATAATTTACTTTTTAACACTACTAATTTGCTTTCTTCACTAACTTCATACT